GCCACTGGACATGGTTAGTTTCTCTTTAGAATGTCATTACTTCAGCTTAAAGGGGAGAAAAAAAAGCAGATTAATAATTACATCCCCCCCCCCAACCTACTTACCTAGCTACATCTGGCTTTCTGTGACAAGATAATTCCCTTTGATTAACTGCTAGAATTTAATTATGAGATAGAAGCAGAGGCACGGAAACTATAATCTGCCTCTCGATTAAAGGAAGTCAGAACACTTCACTCCTCAGAGGGAGGCAGTGTTAAATATTGCTAAACTAAAATAAAATTGAATATCAGGAATTTGATCTGGCTGCAGGGTCTCTCGGAAGTCCCTTCTTCTGTTTTGCAGGTGGAAAATTTGCAGAGATTTTCAGAAAGAGCATGTAAAACATTCAGATCTGACAGCTGTTTCCAAGGATCGTTTTTAGTAATAGTGAAAACTGGTGGATGAGTGTCAACACTGATGACTGGGCAGCGGTGGGTTTCACTTACTTTTACCACCGGTTCACTGCGCGTGTGCACGCTCGCTTCGCACACCTGCATGCCTTCAGCACATGCGCCCGTCCTTCCATGCATGCACTTTACTTGTGTGCATGCCTTCCTGACATGCGCCTGGCCTCAAAAACTTGGCTAAATAGGACCGCACAGGTGGATGGGCCTACCCGTGATCTCTGCTACCAGTTTACCCAAACCAGTCTGAACTGGCTGAGTACCACCTCTGTGACTGTGGATTACATTCTGTATAGTTAGGAGCCCTTGCGACATAATGGTTAGAATTCAGTATTGCAGGCAAACTCTGCCAATAATCTGGAGTTTGAACCTGGACTCAACCTTCCATTCTTCCAGGGTGGATAAAATGGGGGCCCAGATTTTGGGGGGCAGTATGTTGACTGTTCTGACCCTCCTCGTCCCACACCAACACACTCCGAGTCAAAGATACTTTACGGAATTTAAACCGGCACAAATAAGACTTGGCAGCAATCCAGCCTGCCAAGCTCACAATCCTGTTCTCCAGCATTCGTTAATGTGTTGACTTCTGCAAAAGGGGCGTGTGCACAAGCAGTCCTTTTATAGTCTGGAGAGGAGCCTAAGTATCACCAGCTGAGTGCAATTACCTCCTGTAATTGCGTACTTGTTCCTTACGCATATTAGCTCTCCGATGCCGGGCATCTAGGAACAACTCCCTTGGCTCCTCCCCATTGCTGATGTCCGGATCACACTCCCTTGTCTCTTCCCCATTGGTCCAAGACTCAGGCACCTCATGGTGGCCAACCAGCCTCTCTGCACCCTGCTCAGAGTCGGAACCCTGTCCAGG